TGCCCACCTTGGGAAGTGTCACCCCCTCTCTAGCCTCAGTTTCTCCACAGGTAACTCAGTGCCACAGTCCGTTTTGGGTCTGAAATACTGTGTTCATAATTAACTCTTCCTAAGGAGGGTACTTCAGATATGGACATGTGGGCAGCAGAAAGCATGACCAGTCCCCAAGGGTATGAGAGAGATCGCTAAGGGGGCACCGGTGCATTCTAGGCCGAGCTTCCTTTCATCAGTAACAGAGGCCGGCAGGAGCACGTGGATGGAGTGTGCGAGCTTTGGCTCCAGGCGGTTGGGGCTCACTTCCCAGCTTCACCACGAATTTGCTGTGTGATCCTGGGGAAGTTGCTAAACCTCTCTGTGCACCAGTCACCTCGGCTATAGAATGCGGATAATGCTAGTAACTACTTGACAGGTTTGGGCAGGCGAAATGAGCTAATGTGTATTTGTTGCTTGGAAGAGCGCCTGACACATACTGAGTGTTTAATGAATGTTAGTCATTAGCAAAGAAAGGTGCAGCTGGCCTGCTGTTCCCATTCTGAATGTGACACAGGCCTGTGGGGGTAGAGGTGACAGCAAGACAGTGCAAACACCTGAACACAAGTGGTAAGGTAATCATAATAGTTAACGTGTGTATAGCCCTTCCTGGGAGCCAGGCTATGTAATATAGTCTATAGTTTATCTATATAAATTTGTTACTACCTCACAGTAACATCTATGGAATAGGTATTACTGTAATTCCCACTTTACAGGTAATCAAATTGAAGCACAGAAGAGCTAAATGACTTGCTTGAGGCCCTAAGGCTAAAACCTCTAGCAAAATGGTCCCAAGTCCACCACCATAAACATAGAAAATAGAGTTTAATTGTCCTCAGAGCAGTTGCAAAAGCTATTTGCCCCAGCAGAGCCTGGATCCAAGAGAGAGAGCCTGGGAATATCGGTGTTATCCTGAGCCACTTGAGCCCAGTGTCCATCCTCAGGGAGGGGAGAGTCTAACCCCAGGTTGCAGGGCCAGGCGCTGTCCTGTGAGAGGGTCACTGGCAGCTTGGGGGAGTCCACAGGAGGGAGGCAGCCAGGACAAGGAGGAGGAGGAGCAGGGCTCTGGGTGGCAGACCCAGGGGACACACCTCAGAAGGCAGAGACGCCATGCATGTGGCCCAGAAGGGTACCGAGTTTGAAGCAGGTGGCCTAAGACTAAATTCTGAGTGCTGTCCAGCAAGGGTGCCGGGAGGGGCTGAGGAGCTCACCATCCTGGAGAGGACGCAGGAAGTGGTCCCCGAGGTCCCCAGCTGAGGTCGGGGGGTGGGAAGATCAGGGCCTGGGAGCTCCCAGCTTCTCTCTCACTGCTGTCTGTGTCCAGTTGGGCAGGGGACGAGCTGTAGTGGCTGAAACGTGGGGACAACAGTTGGCAAAGAGAATAGATCTTAAAAGTTCTCATCGCAAGAAAAAAATTGTAGCTATATATGGTGATGGATGTTAACCAGACTTATTGTGGTGATCATTTTGCTATATGAACAAATGTTGAATCATTACATTGAATGTTTGGAACGAATATAATGTTGTATATCAATTATATCTCAAAAAAAAAAAACAGAGAGAGAAAGAGAGAGAGAGAGAGAGAGAGAGAGAGAGAGGAGACAAAGCAGCATCGAGAACTCCGGGTCTAGCTCCAGAGGAGGCTTGCGTTGACAGGACCCCTCCACCGTGGGCCCCTGAGCTGGGGCCACACCTCTCTCCTGGCTCACCTCATTGCCTAAGCAGCCTGGTGACAAAGCAGAGAGCTGGGGGATGGTTGGGCCGGGGCCGCTGCTCCAGTGTGTTTCCGATCCAGTGCAGCTGCAGCTGAGAACAGGGGTGAGCATTCTGCCAGTCTGGCCTCCCCGTGTGAGCATGTGTGTGCGCATGTGTGTGCGTATGCGCACACGTTTGCATGTGTGTATGTCTGCGTGTGTACCTGCCCCTGCATCTGAATCCAGATACATTTAATCGTCCCTATATATCTGAGTGCCTTTGCACAATGAGTGTGTGCAACTGTGCATTTTTTATATGTATCAATCCGATAAACATACCTGAATATCTATCTACATTGCAGTGTGATTGCGTCTGCACACGTCTTTGTTCTCTGTTCTGTGTTCTCTGCTTCTGTGATGCTGGGAAGAGAAGACAGGAGAGAGAGAGAGAGGGAGGGGGGGAGAGAGACAGAGAGACAGAGAGACAGAGAGACAGAGAGACAGAGAGAGTGTATGAGAGAGAGAGAGAGAGAGAGAGAGAGAGAGAGAGAGAGAGAGAGAGAGAGAGTGTGAGTA